CAGCACTGTTTCCCAGTTATTTCATATCTACATCATTTGAAGAACCTCATGAACTTTGCTTTTCCTGTAGCTCCCATAGTCACTAGAACAGTGCCATCTGGGTGTCCTGTCAAGGTTGAGAAAAATGAGGGGTGATCAATGTACTGAGGGAGAGGATTGGATGAAGTCCTCCCAAGGACTGGATTTTATGTGCAGATCCCTAAATTGCTTCACTCTTGTGCTTAGATGTCTGGACCAAATTTAGGTGAGTCACCAAGATGACAAAGTCTGCCTTGGATCCAGAATGGGGAACAAGGAAGCACACTTCCCCCTTTCCCATGGCTCCATCAAACGTGCTAGGACACAGGATATCAGTGACTGCAAACAACGCAATTCACTACCTCTCCAGAGCCATACTGTGGGATTCCAGGAATCCTCAGCCAGCAGGAGGTACTGGGCCCTTCCTGGAACCCCTGAAGCCTCCCAGGCTCTCTTGCTGTCCCACTCCCAAGATGTTCATGGCACTGATTTTGTATTTTCCAAGTGCATGAGAAGCCTGAAGAGCAGCGTTCCATCTTCTCCTTCAGGTGTTAATCCTCAGTGTCACACACCATTTAGAACTATCCCTTTCTAGGCCTCTTTTTCCACCCTGAGACCTTGGCACTTGCAAGAAGGTCTGACTCTTTAGATACACCCCACCACATCTGCCAGCACCCCCAGACTTTGTTCCAGCCTGACTTACTGATGTAGGGTCTCTAATAATGGCCAGGAGTTTCTTCTGCTTCGAGCACTTCTCTGTGCCGTGCAAGAAGGCTCTGGATGGTGGCTAAGTCATTCTTCCCCAGACTTAAGTGCCTAAAGCATTGGTTTGTGGGTAAGATTTGGCTAATCTCCTAGGACTATGGTCTTTTAAAGCTTGAGGCAGTCCAGGCTGCAACCCACGGCCATAGTATAAATGGGTTTTGAGGTCAAAGAACAAACATAACTGCAAATTAGTTCTTTAATAGAAACTAGTGAATTAGAAGAACATAAAATTGAAGATTCTTTTTCTTTCTCAAGGCACTAGGAATCAGAAGTTTAGATCTTTACATACTACTTTTGTGTCAAAGGTACGTCACCTATGTTAAAAATGAGAAAATAATTGGTAACTGTAAAATATTGTAATTATATAATATTTGCGATAATAATGTGAAACACTGTATAAGGCATTATAAAATACCTTACGTTATGAGCTATATTGCATCTGATATTACTATTACTACCAGTGATAATATTTCCCCAACAGTCATAATCTGAGAACAATTTCTGAGCCTCATCTCCAAATGTTTGGCTGTGCCTGGCTCCGCAGCTGACTTGAATTCCTCGTTCACTGTCTGGTGATTCATTGCACTAAATACCATTTTCCTGATAATTAAAAACTGCTCACTGGCAAGTGGGAGCAGGAACAGGCTGATGCAGGATTTATGCAGAAACACAAAATGAGCCACAAGACAAATGACCTGTTCTGCCTAGCTAAAGGCATTTTTTTTTTTTTTTTTCTCATCATCTTCGGGGACTTGAGAAAGCCTAGCGGTAATGCCCGAGAGAGGTCTGCAGACATGTGTTATTCCAGGCTGAGGTAAATGCATGGAAGCCATTATGTGCACGTGCTCAGTCAAATCACCCTCCTGGTTTCCAACACTGGATCCCTGCCTTACCCGAGGAGTTAGGCCAGGACCCTCCGCTAGGTCAGCCCTCTCAGACCCTCATCAGAGGAAAAGCACTGGAGCCTAAGCCATTTGATGATAGGCTTTTGTTTTCAGTTTCCCTTCCACAATATAACAATGGTGTCTTCAAGTTCAAAGAAAACAAATACTCATTCCTGTATGCAGAACTTCCCAGTGACGTTGCATCACCCCTCCCAGGCTCCTCCATGCAGCTTCCTCAACTTTTTGTCAGGGGCTTCAGTGACAATCAGAACCTCAGACCCCAGTCTAGCAGTGACATCACGAGCACTTGCTGCCCCCCGACCCCCACATACACATTTCCTAATTCTACAAGGTAGCAAACCTCTCCTTGTGAGTTAATTGCACCCATCATTGAAGTATGAACTTTCTCCCACGTTGGTGCATCTAGTTGCCTATTACTGGCCTGAAAGAATGCTAGCACCATCAGGACATGAGCCGTTCCCCTCTGGGAGTAGGTCCTTCCCAGAACTGATGGGGGCTAATATCTGTAAAGCTCATTAACTCCGTATCCTTTCTCATTCATCCTTATAGATGTCTGTACTTGCAAACTGTTCATTACTGCACATTTCTAGATTGTTTAATTAGTCTTTGTGGAAGAGTTCCTGTAGGAGAGCTTAGCATACATCACTTAAAAGCCCTTGATCTAAAATAACGAGGTAGTTATTCTTAAAGTAACTAATATAACTCTAAGTGCCTTACATCCTCCACCGCCCACCCCACCTTCCTCTTCCTACCTCCCCGAACACTTCCTGGAACCATTTACTGATAATAATCATGAGAACGTCAGTCTGAGCCCTCCCTGTGTACCTCAGGCACTGTGCTAGGTATGTCATTTGCTAGGTATGTTCTTTAATACCACAGTCATCATGGGAGGGATGTGCTGTTTCCTCCACTTGCAGAGGAGAACACTGTTCTAAGAGGGGTATGTGGATTTGCTGTTTTATGCCAGGCTAGTAAGAGGCTTTGGGGTTCTGTCCTCACCTATAGGCCCCAGGGTCTGTCTGGGCTCCTGGCCTCCTCTCCTCTCAGCGTAGCGCAGGATTCAGGATTCGGGGAAAGTCGCAGGTTGTTGACACTGACCTGCTGTCCACTTTGCATTCCGAGTGAGTCTGTTGTCTCACCTCCTGCCCTTCAGTTCACACTGGCCAGCTTCCACCCATATAGCATCTCCGTTTCTTCGCCTAAACGCTCTCTGGCCATGGAGCCTCCCTGCCCACCTGTGCAGCAGGCCAGTCAGCCCCCACTGAAGGCTGGTGGGAACCTGTGTGTTTATACCATGGCTCCTTCCATCCAGGGTGGAAGCATGAGATCACCCACACCAACTCCCAGTTGGTGCTTTAGCTACCCACTGTGGGAAGTGGCTTGAGAACACACTTTTTATAGGCTGCCTTCCTTGCCCGATTTTACGTCCCCACTGACCTATCAGAGAAGCCATGTGGCTTTCAGAGCCCTTTCTCAAGGGCTGCTTCTGGAGGAACCCAAAGTATGACCACCTGAAGATGCTGATCTGACTTCCTTAGACCCTGTCAGTCTGGTTTCAATCATTTTTGCTCTTCACTTGTTTGTCATACTAAATGAGAAAGAGGTGAACCCCCACCTCTATTTTCCTTTTACTCCATTATTAACAAAGTAGAACACTGGCCTCACACATGCGTGTGCGCTCTCTCTCTCTCCCTGCCTCCCCACCTCTCCACCCCCACCCACATTCCCCAGGGATCAGAACATTCCATATAAAGGTGAGGATCTCTCTATATGCTTTGTCCAGATTTCAGGGGGCAGATTCCAAAGTCCATGTTGTCATTCTCAAGTTTCCAAGGAACATTCTAGAATGGTGTTGACCATCCTAAAGCAACCCATTTAGCATGCTAGGAGTGGTTTTATTTAATGACTGGGAATAACCCATCTTTCCAAAAGAGCGGTTCTTCTGGGCATGGTATCTGGCTCTGACTTAAAAAACAAATCCCCCTTCATTTCTCTGCTGCATCTTCCTTCTCCCTCTGGACTGTCACTAGCACTTTGAATCCTTGCCTGAATTGTGACCAAAGCAGCATGAACTTGGGGGAACTGTAGACTCATCAGGATTCTCTGGGTGAAAAATGTCAAAACTGGACCCTAAGTGTAGGGCTGAGAGTCAGCAGAGATGAGCTGCGGTGGGGGGGCACAATGATCAGGGACCCTGGAGAGCTGCCTCAGCCTTGGGTCCCAGCCACGGGGGCTTGGCATGCCTGCTTTTCCAGACCTGCCTGCCCTGCTGACCTGATGCTTCAGTGACAGTGGTGGCAGGCAGAGAGAACACCCACTCTTCACAAGGATGCCGTGCCGGACTGTGTCGCTTAGCTGTCCAGGCCTTGTCCTACTCAACACACCAGCACCAAGATAGCAGTTTCTATATTTGGCCTTAGGACCCATCAGACATGCTGAAAATTACATTGTGCATGAATCCGTTTGTTTCTTGGGTTCCGTTGCCTTTTTTCCCCTCTCCTTCACTTTTGAGTGTATTTTTTCTGCAGTGACAATTCTCTGTTTCGTCCCCATGCATGCCTATTTATCTTGCCAGTGTAAACATCAGTGACAAAGTCTATATTCCTCTTTGTACTTCTCATTCACCGTTTCGTTTTTCATACTTCAGTGTGTCTGAAGGCACAGGCATTCATTACCATTTTTCTTTCGTTCCACCTCATTTTTTTCTATGTAGACTTTGCTCTTTTCTCTATCAGTGTTTTCTAAGCTTTTATCTTCACATTTTCTCTTCTGGTATTCTGTCTTGACACTTCTGTCTTGAGGTGTTTCTAATAGCAATTTCTCCTTCTTCTTCTTTTATTTTAATCCATCCTCATCCCTCTTCCAGCCGTGGCCACAGCCGTCAGTTATAACCTTAAAGGTGGCCACCACTCAGAAAAGTTGTCAGGTTGATAAATATTGATATCTACCCTACCATTTTACCACCACTCTTCTGCTAATGCATTTGGTTGGCATCAATCAGTTTCTTTGCCTTCTGTGAGCGCTCAGTGTGGGAGCTGGTCCCGATCTGTCACTTATAAGTAATCTGCTCCACATTTCATCAAGAGCTCTAAAAGAGAAGAAAAAATGGAGGAGAAGTAGAGGACAGAAAACCAAGCTAGTGTGGCCCAGAGGGAAGGGAGACGGGAAGGCCCAGTAAGGCAAAGAGAGGCAGTCTGGTATGTACGGGGGACGGCCCCCCCCCCAACTGTACCCTTACTGCTGGGGACAGCAGCCAGGACTTACCACCGTGTCCTCTTTGGGATGTTAACCCTGCTTATCTCCTCTAATAAGGCTCCCCAGGGATGAAGATCTACATTGACCCCTTCACTTATGAGGACCCCAACGAAGCTGTCCGGGAGTTTGCCAAGGAGATTGATGTATCTTTTGTGAAAATCGAAGAGGTCATCGGAGCAGGTATGGCTCTCCCCTCCCCTCGTTTCTGTTCTCTTGGTGTCCAGACGCCTTCTTCCCACCATTCTAGGTGTTCTCTTTCAGCATAAAAACTCATCCCATTGGGAGAAGAGTTTCTGACATTTCTCTCCCCAGAAGATGAGTCTGAACCATCTATAATGTGTGTCTAGGGATCTTTGGGGGACCTTGATCACGGTGGCCAGGCTTGATTGGAGTTGCAGAGAAGTTAGCTGTAGTTTTGAAAGATTCATACATAGCTCCAGAAATGGACCACCAAATGCACCAAAAGAGAGAGAGCCAGGGTACACAGTTGAGATGACTTTGAAAGAAACAGAAATGTTTAGAAGCTGGACAGAGGGTCTCACTCACTCACAATATCTCCATGGCTCTGGATCAGGATTTCTCCCCAAACTTTTAGTTCTCCTATTCCTACACACACGCATTTGGAGGCAGACCATGATGAACTGAAGTGAAGAGGGACCGCTCTTTCCAGAAGAAAACCCACCCATAACTGTATTTCCTACAAAAGATCTATGACATGAACAGTAACCCAAGCAAGTTTCACTTCCAAGAAATATGCATGCTCTCCTCCATCTCACTGTGTTGGAATAGCAATCCAGCCCAGCAGAGAACTAACTGCCTGAGATGCTCTCAGGAGATCCTACCCAAAGACTGATTTAGAATTTTCATCTTTCCTTAATGGATCAGTAGTTGAGTCAGTTTGGCAATGGACCCAACCATATTCATGTGAATGAGTAAAATATCCCCAAATATCATCACTTTATAAGTAATTTCTTTACTGGCTCCTTTGTCATCTATTTTGAATCGTCTTAAAAGATGTGTTTGCTCTGTGTCCTCTTTCCTACTTTCATTTTCTTCTGCAATGTCCTTTATCTTTTCTTCGTCTTCCGTTCTTATTAGCCGTTGTTCGAGCTCTCTTCACTCATATGCTGTAGTCTTCTTTTTAGTTCCTGTGTTTAGGAATGTTTCATTCATATCAGTATTTGGAGAGCCATGGAGTTGCCTCTCCCTGTGACATTTTAACTCGATAAAATATGCTTGGTCAAAGTCCTACAGACAGCCACTTCATATATTATCTTTAGGGGGAAAGTCACTATCCTTCCATTCACTGCCTCTCTTAATGCACTGAGGGGTCAAAAAGGCATCTGTGAAATTGGAAGTCACATTTGAAAGCTTGCTCCATTAGACTAGCATTTTCATGCTCTGGACTCCCTCTTAAAGAGCTCCACCTTCATGGCATCTCTGTGGTGGCTGCTGGGACTGTCCCTGTCAGGACACAGCTTTCTTCTCTCACTGACCCCTCAGGAGTTCCAGCCGGCTAGCCATAATCTGATCCACACGAGTCTGTACATTTTTTCCCATTGACTTTCATTAAATATGTTACTGAACCACAACTTTCACTTCTGTGCAGATAATTTTCTCTTCCTCTTTAGATGCTGACATATTTAAGGATCATGCCTTGGAAGGCTGGATACCAGATAAATTGGATTACTTCTAGGGGCTCAGATTTCTCCAGTGAACTCGAAAGAGTGTTGGAGAGGCCTGCTTTCAGTCCCGCGCCCATTTGCCCACATTATTAATTGTTGTTATGTCATGTGGTAATGGTGCTAGTGATTTTAATGTTGTTATTTATGTCATATGCTTCAAGCAATGTGTTTCACCCCAGAGAGCACGTGTCAGCCCCCTCCCGCCTTTGTCAGGGGAAGAGTAAAGAGCCTTCTCACTTTATGACCCTGCCAGGGAGAGACAATTTGGGGTGAGCTCACCAACTGCTGGATGCCTATAAAGGGACAATCGATGGCCCTGCTCCATCCTTCACTTTCCATTTTTGTAGAGCCTGTGCTGCTGTTGCTGTGTTTGTGCATCCTGCTCTGAGAAGGTCAGCCCTCTCTGTGGCTCTCGTGGTAATGGGGAGGGATCGATACATTTAGCAGTTTATGAGATGCCCAGCTGCACGGGGTAGACTTGTGCCCGGTCCGCCACTGACCACCCTCTACCAGACGCTCATCTCCTCCTGATTCAGAACTTCCAGAGCTAATCCCTGCAGATATTAATTCACTATGTGTAACTCGATGCAGTTTTAACAGAAGATGCTCCTAGCTGGAATCAGTCCTCACACCCCAGCTCTTTTTCTCCTCTGTCTCCACGCTTGCTTCTCCCACACCCTGCCTCACGGAGACTGGCTTCACTTTGTGCTAAAAGAGCTGGTGTGAAGGTCAAGTTAAAAAGAAAAGAATGTTCTAAGGTAATATTTATACGGTGTTATTGGCAATATTCCTCTTCGCCTCCTGGCTGATTGGGAGCATGGGGCAAAAACTGGGTTGCAAAATGGTAAAGAAACATGAAAAGAAGACTCAGAAGCCATTTGTCCTTCCTTTACTGGTGGACTCCTTCCCTCCCTCCCTCGACAAGCTCTTATTGAATACTACTTGCATGCTGGATGTAGGGTTCTGGAGATGGACAGACAGCAACCCTGCCCCCCTTCAGAGGTCTGACAATCATAGCAGGAGATAGGCCAGTAATGTGTTCACTGTTTCACACAAGACAGGCCTGTGCAGAGTGTTGGGTTGCCCAGGAGCCGTGTTCAACTCCTTGTTCTGGGAGTGGGTGCAGGCATCAGGAAGGCTTCACAAAGGAGATGACCTTTGGCCTGAGCTTTTGAGGATGAAAACAGTAGAAAAAGCAAATTTTTGTGAAACTCATTAGAGAATGAGACAGTGGCCAAAGAGGAAAATTGTATGATTTAAGAGAAATGAATCCGACCTTGTAGCTGCAAGATGCGGGAACTAGCTGGCGCCAGCTCACAAGAGCCAATTGTGTATGTCTCTCTCCAGCCCCATGTTCAGTGACACATGTTGGTAGGTTAACATCAGCCACGGTGGGAATATTTACATAGTAGGAATTGGCAAATGCTACCAATGGGAGGTATTTGTTTCTTCATTTCTTTGCTTTCTGGAGAGCTAGTAGTTGAACACCTACTGGCACACCCCAGCCTTCCAAAGTGTGCAAGGTTATTTCAGAGAGGATGCAGAGGAGCCCACCTCTGCCTGCTGAGTATAGAACCAGAGGAGAGGCTTATGATCATTTCAGGAGGGATTAAGTTTAGAGTTCAAGAAGATTCTAATTCATTGAACACTGATTCTGTGCCTGGGACCATGGTGGATGCCGGAGAATACACTGGTGCCTAACAGTCCTTGCCCGGTAGCGGTTATTGTCTAGCACACACACAGTGCCACCCCATGAGAGGAGGGGAGGTGATTGACAGCTCAGATGAGGGGCCCAGAGGACACATAGTCTTGGAGGTGGAGGCTTGATAACAGGAGAGAATCCAAGGAAGATGCCTAATCCAAGACCTTAGGGACCCTTGACGATATGAAGGCTTTGTATGGGCTGATACCCTGTGTGGCACTTCCTGAGAACGTGGAGGAGAGAAGGCTAACAGGGAGGCATTTCCTGAGGGTAAGTATCAAGCACTGAGTCTGGAGAATGAGGCTGAGACCAGAGATCCAGAGGCTATGGTATGGATTTTATCCTGTAGAAAATGGTGACGTCTTATAGGTATCTGAGCCAGTGAGGTGATAGGAATGAGATTCCGGGGCGGTGAATCTGATAGATGCTATGTTTGGACTGAACTGTAAGGAGGCGACGGGGAGGGGTGGGTGAGGCCTCAGAGGTATGGAGACCGTATGGGGCTCTGCTTGGAAACATGGAGAGGGTTTGAGAGGACTGCTGCTGGGATGGAGGTGGTCAGGAAAGCTGTGCTCGAGTAACTAAATGGATCTAAGCCAGAATGTGTCCAAACATGGTGAATGGAGCTGATGGGGGGACATGACAGGGAGCTTGTGGCCAGAAATGAGGGGCATCAAATTAAAGCCGTTGAAGGGAGATGAAGGCTGAGAAAGGCTGCCAGGCGCTGGAGGGTGAGAGGGTGGCAGTTGTGCATGTGAGGGAAGGCCAATAAAGTCTAGAAACTGTGAGGCTGAAGAATTGCAGCAACGGCCCAAGTTTCTTCTCAAGTTGTTGAGGAAGTTGTACAAAGGGATAATAAGGGGCACCTGGGAGGTCAGCCGTTAAGCATCTGACTCTTGGTTTCAGGTCAGGTCAGGTCATGATCTCACAGTTCATGAGTTTAAGACCCACACCAGGCTCTGTGCCAACAGTGCAGAGGCTCCTTGGGATTCCCCCCTCTCTCTGCCCCTTCCCTGCTCTGTGTCTCAAAATAAATAAATAAACTTCAAAAAAAATTTTTAAAAGGCTTACACAAGAGTAACTGTGAGCCAGTGTGATGGCATCCAGGAAGACGGAGCAATAATGAACTTATTAACCATTATGCAGCTATATGCCCATCTTTCATCATCAGGCTCAGAGTTCCAATGACAACAGGGTGATCTTGGGATTTTGTTAGTCCTGTGCCTGGCCTGGTGTGGCACTCAAGTGTTCAATCATATATTATTTGCATGAATTATTTGAATGAAAGCAGGTCCTTGTGGGGAGAGTATAGCAGGGAGGAAACTCTGGAGAACTGGGCAGAGCTTGGGAGGATGGAGAGAGCCTAGAGGGATCCTGGTCACTTGGTGCTCCAGAAATGGCCCAGCGGGATAAAGGCTGGCCTTCCTCTTCCCCTGCAGATAATGCACATTATTGGTCTCTTTAGAGAGGGCAGCAGGCCTTCTGGTGTCTTTGGAGAATATTAGCAATCTGTGACCATGAATCTGACTAATAGGAGCCATCTCACAGGTCAACTCCAAGGCATTGGTTAGTTCTGATCAGTTTGATCCATAGACTCGCCCAAACCATAAAGCAGGGCTGCCATCTATAATTAGGCCCCTTGGCATGAATGTCACTCTGGGTTGTGCAGTGTGTAACCTGTGTAACTGTAGACAGCAGCCCTGATCATGACTTTCAAGTGCATGAAAAGGTAGGTAGAGGCGTTAGTAGAAGGTGGCTTCCAGAGGAAGATATGGCAATTGTATTTTATTAAT